GGGGGGGGGGGGGGGGGGGGGCCCGCAAACTCCGCAGAGTTAGCTTTCGTGACTTCTATGACAAATAATAATAGTCTGATTACAGTAGTAATAGTAATGCTATGTAAAAGTACAATGTGCTGGGAATTTAGAATAATTATTTGGGCAAGATTACCACGCAATCTCGCAATCTTAGTCTCCAAAAGGCAAACTAGTCGGCGAGCAAGCGGAGCAGGGGCAAGATGACCAAGATTGCTTGGCAATGTTGCTGCCCCACGCCTGACCAAGATTGCCAAGACGGTTCCACAAATAAGTGTTCTAAATTCCCGGCAAAATGTAAGGGTAATAATCAATATGATAAGAATTACAACAATAAGCATGCAATTGCAATACCAACAATCATAGCGCATTTTTGTTTTTCCCTGACAGGGGTAGTACGTCCCCCCCTCCCTTCAAGTTGGAACGGGGGTGGTGGTGGGTACGTCCCCCCGCTTCGTCAAAGGAGGGGAGCGCAGTGGTGTCAACCCTCCCAGGCTGAGGCAGCAGAGACTGCGTTCTGGAGGACTATCGGCTATAAGGCGTTGTTGGGCTCCGGATGTTGCAGCGCATCTTTTGTCTCTCGAGGGTTCTCGAGGGTGCACACTCAGACCTGTCTGTACATGCAGGGGCGTGTAAGCTCGTCGCGGCTCGGGCACTGGAATGCAATTTGCTGGTCTTCAACCCCAAAGCATGAACAAGATTCAAGCCATTCCGGCTCTCATGCTGCAGTACCCCTGTATGTACTTCAAAACTGGGAAAACTCAATGCTTAGGCCCACTGCGAGGGCCATTAAACGGGACATGGGCTTGCAAGAGCTGCTGTGCAAAGTCACGACCGTTTAACTGCAGCTATGTAGTTGTACAATCTTCGGTTCGGATGGCTTGCAAACCCGCTGACTGATTTTCACAAAAACCTGGCCACAAATCCCTTGTAGGATCGGCCGGGGAAGCGGTAGGAACATCATTGCTGGCCGATTCGATCGGATCCTAAACGCCATCATGAGTTGGCCTTCTCTTGCCTCCGGGACAAGGAAACAGCTGTCAGTAAGATCTTCGACCTTCCGCAACAAAGCAGGCCATTCGGGCATAATGTCAACCTTGTCTTCCTGCATATCTTGCGAACATAGAGGGGTCTTGCCCCGAGCCTGAGCTGTCCTTCTCCGAGAGAAGGCCCCGGACTGCGCTGAAGATGTGGAGATGCTCAGTATGCGATCACCCTGCTGCTGCTGTTCTTGTGCCTGCCAAGATGGCCACCGCATGTTGCGAGAAGAAAAGGGAAAACGCTCATTGCATCATAATCTTCAATCAATGCGACGCCAACACCATTTTCATGTCAAGTAAAGGGTGCAACTACCGGGAACTACCAGCTTTGAGAAATTTTCGATGGCACACCCGTGGCCCCCAGGGCTGAGCTGCAAAAACACACCAATCTGCGAATCAAATGCGTGACTTCTTGCATGCCCGTAGGTGCGTGAAATGAGGCACCACGGTGTCGTAGAGTATGCCGCACATTCCGCAAACCCGGACCTGGAGGACAGCCGGCTGAGCAATAACCTTCAATACACAACAGTTAGCCTGCCTAAGCGTGAACCCGAAATGAATAGCCCAACTCCGGCATTCATCAGGTCGAGCCAACATCTCGAGCAGTACCAATGTCTGCACGCAACACTGCAGAAGCAGCCAAGCAGCAGCAGATGGGCCCCCATCACAGCCCGTTCCTAGCTCTGGCTGATTGTCCACACCGCACCAGTTCTCCTGCAATGTGTTGGGCTTCTTGCTCTTGGGGCCATGAATTAACGGAAAGCTAAAGGCTTCTAGAAGTGGCGCCGGCATGCTCGAAAAGGATGGGGTTGGCTCTTCAAGCTGAGTTTTTTGGAGGTTTGTCGGGCAAGCATGCAGGCATGATTGAACTTCAACTGTACATCCTGGAGCTGTTAAGTCAAAATTCCGTCATTTGCAAGGTTGCCCTCTAAGCGCAAGCAGGTACCGAGTTTTCGAAGCCAAAAATCTTTGAGGCCAAGACCTGTGCGCTTCAATTCTCACAACTCGACACTCCAGGCCCTTTGAGGCCGTGCACCAGGGACGAAAATGCGACACAAGTGCAGAGTTGTATCTTCGTGGCGCATTGTTCGGATTTGGGAATAAGTTTCAAGCCTCCTCCTTGTCGTCCCTCAGAAGGCGGATCATACCTGGCAGGCAGGAAATCCTTCTCTGGTGGTCTGCTCTGGCGATCCAACTTTCATGCAAACTCCTGAGAAACTCGGCCCTCAAGGCCTTGGGGGCACAAACTCCCAACGGTTGCAACTTTATCACTGCCCGCCGACCGTCTCATCCAGACTTCCTGCAACATCGACATTTACATCATCGTTGTCGCCGTTGCCATCATCCTGACACACCATGACCGTCTTCGTCTCTAGCTGCAGGCCAGAAGTCTTCTGTGGCACATGTGATGCCTACCTCTCTGAATGAACTCTCTAGTCACGAATGTGTCCAGGATTTTGCAGCTACCAAAAAACCCTTCGTGGAAGGACGCAGCACGGCCTTTCTCGCCAAAGCGGGAGCCCCAGGAATTGAGAATCGTCCAATACCTAAGCGACTCTCCCGTTTGACATCCACTCAATTGATATTGCTTTCATCGCTGATGCTCGGTTTAAGCTGAGTGGGCTAGCGACCTGCAGTAAGGCCTGTAGGATCCTCTAGGCCTATAGGTCCAGAGTCCAGCTGCAGCTTTGTATTTTTAAACCTAACCGGGAGTCTTTTGTTTTTAGACCGCCTAGTTTTATCGCAGAACGTAGGGCGTACACGAAGCTGGAATGTTTGGAATGCCAGGAACCAACATTCCCGACCTGCATCGACAGAATCACACTGAAACCGCAAATGGAGATGCCACGTCATGTCATGGTGGCGACGTTGAAATTTTGGCAGGGGCACTTCTTTCCCAACTGCTGATCTCGTCCGTAGCCGACCAGGACAACAGCATGATCGATGATGGCGTTCTTGTCGCAGTAGTCGAAGATACCATTCCTGCTCGTGGCAGTGCTCCCCGAAACAACAACGGCTCGCACCCAGAAAACCAGTTAGTAGGTTGTAACTGAAGGCTTCCTTGCGTCACGGTTAACCGTGGCACGGGGTGGTCGAGAAAGTCCGCAGGGCTTCCCACAGACTCAGAGGTACTAGTGGTGGATTGGGTTCTTTTGGCCATGCCCAGAGCCAAGGGTCATGTAGAGATCCCAGCTGCTAGCGCTGACAGAAACAGCAACCGGCCCGTGATGATACAGGGCGCGCATCAGGGGCAAGTACTCCTCAGATCAGTGATCCACAAGAATTAACGGATTTGCTACGGCAAACTGAGCCAAGGCTGCCTATCAAATCAGCAAAGGCTCGTTCTCTGGAAGCTTCTCCCAGCCATGGATTCCAAGGCTGTGGAGGCCGCGTGAATCGCCCTGATTCTCGCGGGGGACAAACGGCAGGCCTACGCTCATCTGTACAAACTCTGCCAAGGCTGACCAGGGAGTGGCTGCTCCCACATCCCAAGGCAAAATGTCGCAAGGGGTGCAGACACGCCTGGGCACGCCGAAGTCCCGCATCAGCCAAGTCATCCTCTCTGCCCAACTCTACGCCGGCTTCGATGCTGTCAGGCTCGGAGGATTGCAGTTGAGGGTCTTTGGAGTTCGGTGACAGGAGGCAGCAATACGTGCCGGAAGCACAGTTGTGGGGGCTATGTCTCGTCTCAGCGGCGAAGATTCCCGTGGGAAGTATCATCTAAGCCCACAGTGGCGCCTACAGTTGAAACCTGCCCGCTCTTTCATCAGTAAGCGCCTGTGAACGAAATATTCAACAAAAGTTAATATATCAGGCTCTGCCACCCCAAACACACTTGAGGTCATTTCCTGGTCGGTCAACTGCAAAGTAGCCACGGCCCCACTCTGGCAATCCTCGCGGCCACTGCTGCGACGCGGTGCTTGAGAACGTCAGGTGTATGTTGCGACATAAACATGCCCGAAGCACAACGGCATGAGCCTCAACTCTGGATGCGATGCTTGCTTTTCAGGAAAACGTAGGTCCGAGCCTATGAGGCTGCCTGCAAGACCCGTGATACGGCAGAGGTTGACTCGGGCCCCAACAGGCGATGGTGCGGAGAAGACTTGCAGGAAATGGCTGCTTTTACGCAGACTGATTGGAACAGGTTTAACTGCAGCACAATCACATCTCCGAATAGCTGGTGCGCTTGCACCTAGCTGCCATTTCAGACTTCTCCTTTTTTTCCACGGGTCTAGGATGCTGTGCCACCTGTGCCCCTCGCCCTCGGTCGAAATTTCTTAATTCACATCATGATCTCAACGTCGACAAAACTGAATCTGCAGCCCTCTCTGCTCCTGATCTGTTCCAGTATAGGGCACCTCCACCTCTGTGGAGAGCCCATGCCTGAGGAGTAGGTGCAGGGTTCATGGGCCCCACTTCAGTTTATGCGGTTACGGATAGTTCGACTGCAACAACAATAGAAGTTAAATGACTTGCCATCTTGCCGATTTGGTGGCGGCCGAACCTATTAGAGTCATTTCGACATGGGTCTAATTTAAGGGACAGGTTCAAGGGCTCCGGCCACATTCACGCAAATCGTACCGACACGACGAATCAATGATTTGATGAAGAACCAATTTAGAACCTTGGTTTATGTGGGAGAGGGTTTCATTGCGTGACAGGAGCTTTGAAGCAAGGCTTCGCGCATCTTGTGATACTGCATGTTGCAACAATATGAGAAGATGAACTTGCAAACTGCAAGCTGTTCTTACCACATCCTAACTCGAAGCTGGCCGAAGTCGAAACTGTGCAGCAAATCAGTGGCATGCTTTGCTATATGGCCATAATGCGTCAACCGTCTTCTCGGACACGGAACGCCATCAGCAATGAGCCAAAGCCGAGGCTGGCTGCGAGCTGCTAGCTGCTAGTGCAGGCCACATGATGCCACATGCATCCTCACCACCCATTCCATCGCATTTTCCACTGCGACCTGGATGCTTCAGCGTGTATGCCATGGCCAGCTCCACGGTCGCACCCTTGCATCCTCCCGAGCCACCACAGTTCCTTCGGGCTTTCGCACAGGCAGAGCGGGATGCGCAAATCCCTCGAGCCCCTGCGGGTCCTGGGATTTTGCACGCAGTTGACCAACTGCTGTGCGGACAGGGGCTCCTTCTTGCGATGGTAGATCTCCCGATGGGCCTGAAAGTTGAAAATATTCACTCTCTACATCAGGCACGCCTGTGTTTGTTGCGAACAACCCAACGCATAATGAGGCTGGAGAGCCTGCAACACCCACCCCCAGCCCCAGAGAGCCTCCAGCACTGTCGCCGCAGTGACAGCCCAACAGGATCCACAGCCGCCCTGATCCTGTGCTGGAAAGCTGGAAGCGGTGATCGGATGCACTCGTATCTTCCAGAGGCTCAGAAGTCCTAGAGCACATCGAATTCCTATACCTATATCTATAGATAGATAGAGATATATATATATACACATGCATACATACATACATACATACATACATATATACACACATATGTTTGTTGTCACGCGCTCCGCCGCCCACCCCCCCCCCGCCACCCTTTCAGGATGCCCCCCTTCCCGAGCTTTTGAGTTTGGGGTTTAGGGTTAGAAGGTATAAGGCTTCGAGTCGACAAGGGCGTAGGGAGGGTTTGCGTGTATGTTCGTTAGGGTTCAAGGTTTAAGTTCTGCTTTAGGCTTTACGCCTATGGCGTTTAGGGTTGGGTGAAGGGATTGAAATTACATAATCAAGACAGGAGCACGCGCTACGTATGTTGTAGGGTTATAGGGTTTATGGCTTGCGCAGGGCTTGCGGAAGATCCCGACCCTTTCTGTGACCCTCGCCCACCACCCACCCTCCAGCTGCAGCTCCAACGGCCCCTCTCCGCACACGCCAGCAGCCCCCCTGCCCCAGACACTTGACCACATATGTACGTATATATACATGTATATATACACACATACATATACGTGTATATATATATATACACACACACTATATTATACATATATATATATATATACGTGCTACCCCCCTGTAAAGCCTGCTATGCTTCAATGCCACACACATACTTAACACGAGAAATCGCAGCGGGACAGAGATTCCGCCAGGTCTCATAGAGATGAGAGCCCTTTCAGGGAAACATGGCAGTAGTAATAACAGTAATATTCATACTCCTACGGATACTAATATCATAGTCATACTCATACTAAGATGAATACCATTGTTCTTCGAGAACTATTGTTCATATCGAAATTAAGGCTACTACTAATACAAATACGAAACTTAAGAATAATACTTATACAAACATTCCTGCGAATGCGAATCATCATATTTATCCTAACATGTCTGCTAATACTGTTGTTTATACTACTGCCAATATTTATGATAATACCAATAACCATATAAGTCATAATCCCACGAATACTAATACGCATACTCTCATGGCTGGTAATGACATAATATTACCAATACGACTACTGACATCGGTAATTATTTGTATATTCAAGTTAATACTCGTATTAATACGAATATTAACACGTAAATCAAGGCTGAAACGAATATGACAATACGAAAACTAATGCTAACATTAAACTCCTACGGTTACAAATAGTCATATTCATTTTGGTATTAAAATGTATAGTAATACCAATGCTAATACATGGCTACATTAAGGCTGATACATATCTGACAATACGAATACTAGTACTAACATTAATACTCTTACATAATCATATTCATACTGATACTAAAATGTATAATCATACCAAGACTAGTACATACTTGCATATACTAATGTAAACAGACATGCAACCGCTATATCAAGATACAAACGTATTAGCGCATTCAAGATTCATGTGCTAATATGTTGGTCTTTTTCAAATACCCTTATACAAGTATGCTACTATACTTTCATGTTAATGTATGAACATGTTAATGCACCAACATGCTAACATACTAATGTACAAATGCTGTAGTATACAAGTATACTGGAATATTAATATATTGCTATACCAACATATTGTTGCCTATAAACTATTGGGTTGGCATACGAATATAGTCGCATACATAAATACGAGTATACCTATATACTGACTTATTAACGTACGAATTGAATATACTAACATACTAATATACCAATATACTAGTATAAGTATACAAATATACTACTATACTCAGATTCTAATGTATTGATAAATTCAACTGTTCATATACGAGCTTACTAGTATACTAACATATGAACCATAACTCTACTATTACTACTAACAATCGTGCTTCTGCGAATATTAGTAAAAGTCATATCAAAAGCAGCATAAGCCTGATACAAATACTTATATTGGTCTTAATACTAACAGTGACATTGACACTGGAATAAACGCTAACACGAACACTAAGTTATACGCACAACTATTGATATTCATACTTGTACTAAATGCTTAATGCGAATACTATCCAGAAACGCGTGTTTTTGCAGTATGCGCTTGTGTATAGCACGTTGTTTGTATGCGAGACACCTGAGTCAAACAAGTTGTCCAATATCTGCATATAACACTGCATATAGTATCATGTATCATATATATATATATGTATATTTAATAATGCTAATATAACTGTATATATATATATAACTATATATATATATATATATATTCAGGAGTGTGTGCATATTAAGGATTGATGATTGTAACGGTTCTGGAGCAACATCTCATGAAAAGTTAGAGACCATATAAGAAATGACATATTTACCAAAAAACATTGTCCTCATTTTCGAAAATAACACAAAAAATCCAAAACCACTGACGGCACTGATTTTTCAAACCCAAAACTTCCAACAATTCCCAAAAAATCCACAAATTTTAAAAAACAACAAGAAAGCCACACACATTCCAAAATTTACAAACATTCATGCAGTGCAGTCCGTCTCTTTTAATGGCAGCGGCAGTCAGAAATCAAGCATGAAGCTAGCAGGCTGCTTCATGACATACTCAGGATGCACTCAAGAATGATTTCAGCTCACCAAGCCTGCCCGAAGCACTAAGCAGAACAAATTTAAAAAGAAACTTACAAAATTTCCAAAAAAATCCAAAACCTGCAGAACTAAGTTTTCGAATTGCGAAATTCCAAAATTCCAAAACTTCTCTCTGATTCTTGAATTTTCGCATTTTTGCAATTTTTGGGATTCTTTCGGAATTTTCGGAATTTCCAAAACTTGGTATCGTGATTTTGGGCTCTTTGAAGGTTGTAAGATTTCATTGGTAAAGGACGCGTGACATGAACCCTCAACCCGAACCCTGAACCCAGGCAGCAAGCACGGGATGTAGTACCTGAACAGGAAAAGGTGTGGGCTTTGGGGGGGGTACCATATATATATATATATATTTTTTTTTTATACAGGTATGTATGTTAGTTATATTTTTTATGTACATACCTAAATGTAGACTTATACTTATGTGTACACACACAAGACGGCACATAAACATATAATGCAAAGCTTACATATATACATATCTATACATACATGTGTACTCATATTTATGTTTGTTTTCATTTTTATACGTATAAGCGTTTTCAAACATTTACAAGTTTGCTCAAGTGTATGCGCATACGTTTACACCCAGGTATACACACGATATGGGGAATAATTAAGCCATTTGGGTCTTTAGCTTGGCGAAAGATGCAAGATTCATGCACACTTCGTGAAGCAGCATCATTAACAGTGCCGCACAGAATCGCATACAGCACCATAAAACTGAGCGCATGCAGCCGATGCATGTGCAAAGTTCGCATCCTCCCTCCACCAAAACAGTGCTCATATGTTAAATGCTCGCACACATACCAGTACTTCGCAGGATGGGCCTCGGCGCAACTGCATGGGGAACGCGGAAGCAGGTCGGAATTTACGACCCAGGCAGCGAGCCGTGCTTTATCATTGAAGTGTCTTGCGGATAATGTAGAGGTCGGAATAATGTCCAGCCTTATAGTTCGGTTCTATTTATGCTATAACCTACCTCGAAAAACTCAATTCTATTTTTGTCAGCCTTTTAAATTTCTTATGTCCACTCGGTTTGCGCTTGACTCGGACTGTGACTGCTTCTTGGCGGCGTAGGCATTTGGAACCGGCACGAGTCAGATTCGGAGTGGTGCGTGAGCACTTCCAAAGCTAAGCCGTCAAGACCAACTGACACTTGCGAAGCCTCACTCTCTCACTTCTTCACTTTACATGTTGTTGTTTAGAAAGGATTCGTCATATGTCAGCAATCACCGGCATGTCAGCGCATGCATACGTGTGTATGCTTGTGTGTGTATATATATATATATATATGCACACACATATAAGCGCGGTGGAAGGTGTGGCAACAAAAGCGGCAATAGTAACAGTAACTGTCGTGTTTGCACCTGTGACTGCAGCAAGCACATGGTGTCGCATTTTGAGTTGCGGATGCAATTACATCGTTTTTGCTCCGCCTGATACTGATACAGTCGCATTGTTGGCGATGTCATTGTCAGCGCCGGTGATTTTGCTGCTATTTTTGTTATTCTCCTATTCTTGCTGTTGGTGGTGCTGGTGCTAGTGCTGGTGCTGGTGCTGGTGCTGGTGCTAGTGCTGCTGCTGCTGCTGCTGCTGCTGCTGCTGCTGTAGCTGCTGCTGTAGCTGTTGCTGCTGTTGTTTCTGTTGCTGCTGTTGTTGCGGTTATTTCTGCTGTCGCTGGATGCCGTTGGCGCTGTTGCTGTCGCTGTTGATGTCGTTGCCGCTGTCGTTGTTGTTCTTGTTGTTGTTTGAAGGTTGTTATTTATCGTTGCTGCTTGTTGCTTGTTGGTCTTTGGTGGAGGTGGTGGTTGTTTGATCTTTTCTGTTGCTATTTGTTGATTGTTTTGGGTCAGTGGTGTTGCTGATGCTTCTGCTGTGTTGGTGGTGGCGGCGGTCGGCGGCAGCGGTCGTGGTTCCACTGTTGCGTTGCTACGTGTCGCCGTCCAGTCTCTTAATGTAGGCGGTGGCTCTGCCGCTATGGATACTGTCATTGCTACCACTATCGTCATCACCATCAACAACAGCATCATCATCATCATCATGATCATCTTCATGTTCACTATCATCTTTCAACATCTTACTCTTCATCTTCATCTTCGTCGTCATCGCCACCGCCACTCTCATCACCACCATATCACACCAAATCATACTTATAGAGGCTCGTTGCTTTCATCATCTATATCATCAGCCGCAGCAGTGCAATCGTCATCATCGCCGCTTTCATCGTCGCCGTCAGCATCATCATATTGCTCTTCTTCATCGCCATCATCATGGCCACCACATCGCCATCACCATCAGCATCATCATGATGATGCCCTTACTTCTTACGAATATTCGATCAGCTTTGGTCTACGCGTTCTACAAGCGGACAGCACTTGTTGCCTTGCAGCTCGCATATCTCCGCCGGCTCGGCAGGCGGGTCCGGCCAGAATAGCAAAAGCTTGACTACGTGGTGCGATCATAGTGAGCAGTTCCGGTGCCGACAAGAATGACCATCGGTAAGGATCGGCAGGTGTCACAGCACCTGCCAGCACTCACTTCAGCTGTTCGGGCACCAACTCCATTGAACTTCGGCAATCGTGGGTGCATCCCATAGTTGAGTTTGCCACTTTGTTAGTAGTTTGTGTGGTTGCTCACAAGCTGATGGATGCATCGGCTCAAACGGGAAAGTTTAGCGTGTGGGTAGCTGCAGTCGGGTAACCGAAATGTACTTCAACTTCATATTTCTGTCCGCAGGATACCTGTGCACTCTTCTTCCTGTGCCCTTCTCAGCAGCCATTCCACAGTCCGGCAGGAAAAATACTAGCTTAGCAGAAGCCAGGGTTCGACAGCAGACAGCATGTGAATGCAGCAGAGATGTGTTCACACAGTGATTGACCCGAGGAGAAGGTCAGGCAGTGAGCAATGGGCAGCGCAGCTTCCACTCCTTTTAATACCAGCCTTGCTGGCACAGCATGCGGTATCGAAGAGCACCGGCATGGGCCGTGCCGAACCTCAGAAATTCTACCAGAAGGAATTCAGCTGAGCCACTCAGTACAGCAATAGACCTGAGTTCTAACTCCCTTCCAGGACTCCGTCAGTTGATCCCGTCTGAGTGAGACTACAGACCTGGGCAAATAAGGAGATCCAGGTTTCGTGATGGAAGGGATATAAGTCTGCGCGCGCATATATATATATATATATGTGTGTGTGTGTGTGTGTCTGTGTGTGTGTGTGTCTGTCTGTGTCTGTCTGTGTCTGTCTGTGTCTGTCTGTGTCTGTCTGTGTCTGTCTGTGTCTGTCTGTGTCTGTCTGTGTCTGTCTGTGTCTGTCTGTGTGTCTGTCTGTGAGTCTGTCTGTGAGT